GGTCCCTGATGCTTTGCTAAGCTTGTTCTAAGTAGGTGCCCCAGACCACTGAGCCATCTCTCCAGCCCCCAAAGGACTTTCTGTAAGAAGTGTGGCAAGCATCAGCCTCACAAAGTAACCCAATATAAGAAGTTCAAGGGGGCCGACCAGATAGCTCAGCAGACTAAAGCCCCTGCTTAGGCAGGCTCAGCAACCTAGGTTCATCCCAGGCTGGATTCCGGGCATGCTGTGCCAGTCCCACCACCGCCCCCCTACCCCTACCCCCGGGGCAAGTTGAGACAAGGTGACAGACTAGGTGTGGTGGCCCATCTGTAATCCCAGTGCTTGGGAGGCTGAAAACAGGAGAGTCTGGTCTGTGTAGTAAGACCGCGTAGCCCCTGTACTAAATACATTTAAAAGGGGGGGCGGGCAAGGATTCCCTGTATGCCTAAGTAAAGAGGCACTGCAGTTGGAAACAGAATGACTACGGTGGGCAGATGAAACTCATTTTCTGCAAGAAGGCTAAAATGACAAAGAAGATTTGCTGAGGCTTGAATGTGTGATGCCTACCTACAGATCGAAGAGAATGCTGGCCTCTAAGAGATGCAAGCACTTCAAACTGGGAGGAGACAAGAAGAGAAAGGGCCAGTTGACCCAGTTCTAACCTCGTGCTTAACTTTATTTTATTTGGCGGAACTGGAGATTGAACTCAGGCCCCTGCGCTTGCCAGGCAAGCGCTTATTCCACTGAGCCATTCGTGCTTAACTTTAAAGCAAAATGTTGGGGCTGGGGAGATGGCTCAGTAGAATAAGCGCTTGCCTGGCAAGCTCAGGGGCCTGAGTTCAATCCCCGGTTCTGCCAAAAAATTAAATTAAATTAAATTAAATTAAATTAAATTAAAGCAAAATGTTGAAGCTATAGGAAGATTAGCTATAGCAAAATAAATGCAAGTAACCAAATGTAGTAACCACACCAAAAAAAAAAAAAATTGAGAGACGAACTCTGGACAGACAGACCTCAGTTTGATTTTTTTTTTTTTTTTAAATATATTTAGTACAGGGTCTCACTACACAGATTGGACGCATAGTGATTCTCCTGTTTTCAGCCTTCCAAGCACTAGGATTACAGGCATGTGCCATGCCCAGTCTCAATAGCGGTCTCAGTGCACCCTGGGGACCAGGCCAGCACTGCACATGGGATGAACCCTGATTCCTGCGTCTGTCTAAGCAGGTACTTTAATCCGCTGAGCTATCTGGCTGGCCTTCAGACCTCAGTTTGAATCCTTGCTTTGGTCTTAAGTGCATGACTGTAAGTTATGTGACTTCTCTAAGGCACAATTTTTTGACATGTAAATTAAAATAATGCTATTGATATTATAGGGGTTTTTGATAAAGTGAAATATAAAAAGCCCACGATAGTATTTGGCATATAGTGGTGATCAGTAAACAAAAATAAAAATGAGATCCTTGCCAGGTGTGGTGGGACATATCTATAATCCCAGTATTCAGGAGGCTGAGGCAGGAGGAGCCCCTCAAGTTTGAGACCAGCCTAGGTATGTAGTGAGTTCAAAGGCGGTCTGAACTACATAATTTCATTTCTTTCTTTCTTTTTTCCTTTTTTTTTTGCAGAACCGGGGATTGAACTCAGATCCTTGAGTTTGTCAGTCAAGAGCTTATCCTGTTGAGCCATCTCCCCGGCCCCAGAACTACATAATTTAAAAAAAAAAGAAAAAGAAAGAGGAAAGAGTCCTTAATGCTATTGTATTGAGCCCAAAGTGTAAAATACCTAATTATTTTCCTCAAGAGTTTTTATCCTACAGCTCAAACCTGTCAGCCTGGTATGTAGCACCTCCCCAACCCTAAAGAGTATGAGTTTGGCTCATTGTCTGTCTTATTTTACAGGCAGGCCCAATGCCCAAACACATTGCATTCATAATGGATGGGAACCGTCGCTATGCCAAAAAGTGCCAGGTGGAGCGGCAAGAGGGCCACTCACAGGGCTTCAACAAGCTGGCTGAGGTGGGTGTGAGGTGGCACAATCTAAAGTGAACAGTCCGTGAAGAATTCAATTATGGCTGGAAAATGAGGCCCTGAATTTGTTGTGGCTTGAAAAAATTTTAATAGCTCTTTCTCTGTTCTATTGCTTGCTTGCTAAGTATTGATCTCATGTTGACATTAATAAAATTGTCCAGTGAATCATCACAGAATATTAAAATGAAATTTCCACTTCAAATTACCTTAGTAAATTATTAGTTTTTATTATTCTGTACCTCACCCAGTGCATATAGTATGTCCTGCATGACAACACTTATAGAATTGCCTCTGTAGTTCACATAACTTCATTTGACATTTTGACAGCTATTTTTCTAAGCTCTATATCCATTTTAACTGTAAATTTTATCATGGGTATCTGATATAATTTCAACTTTCATGGAACATTATAAATGTCAGAAAAAGGACTGATTTAAAAGAAAACAGAGCTAATTTAAGATAAACTTATTTTTTATTAGTATATGTTTGTAGGAGGATAAATTTTTAGAAGTGACATTTCTGGAGCAAAGGTTTGATGCCTAATAGTCCTACTTTGCCTAGGCTGAGAAGTGTCTCAGGATGCCTTTTAGTGCTAAGCTGGGGAAAGTCCCAGGCCAGCTGGAATATTAGTCTTCATAAAAGTCATGAACATTTGATGATTTCAGTGCATATTACATGGAGGGAAATATTACATTTAACAATAGAATGGCGTATGACAAGTCTTGGTGAAGCTTTTAATTTTCTCCTAGTACTAGGGATTGAACCCAGGGCTCTGAATTATATCCCAGTTGTTTATTTGTGGACAAGGTCTTGCTAAATCACTTAAATTGCCCAGGATGGGTTTAAATTTGTGTTCCTACTGTCTCATCCTCTCAGAGATTATAGGTTTGCACCATGACACCCAATTTAAACTAACTTCCTTTGGTGCTGGGGATTGAGTCCAGGTCCTTATGTGTGCTAAGTGCTCATTCCACCAAGAGCTACACCCCTAGCCCTTTATGAAAAGAACTTTCAGAAGAATGGAAATAAAGTCTGTAGCCCTTAGGCACAAGCACATGCCCCAATTACATGGCAGTAATACTTTTTTTTACCTTAAGAAATTGGTAGATAGCTTCTCTCTTGCATACTGTAGAAATCTTTTTTGACCTCTGGTTCTCTTTGTTAACTAAGAGGCAGTTTTGCATAGAGTTTGTAAGCTTAAATTCTGAAATCACTTAGATCTCATTGGTATAGACAAAGTGCTTTTTTGTGTTTTTGAGACAGGATCTTGCTATGTACTTCAGGCTGGCCTCAAGCTTTCAGTGATCCTCCTGCTTCAGCCTCCTGAATGCTGGCATTAACAAGCATGTTCCACCATGCCTGGCTTGGATATAGTTGTTAACCTCTTGTAAAGAAAAAAAAAAAAAAAACCTCATTACCACTCTCGTCCTACTACTTCCTGGCTTTGTGGCCTGTAATGGTTTGTTTTGGTTTTTTGGTACTGGGAATTAGACTCAGCACTTTGTCCTTTCTGTTTTGTTTTGTTTTTGGTGCTGAGGACTGAACCCAGGGCTTCCAGCTTGCTAGGCGAGCGTTCTGCTGAGCCAAATCCCCAGGCCCTGGACTTTGTCCTTGTTAGGCAGGCACTTGTGCCCAGTGAGCTGTATCCTTCGCTTGGCTTGTAGTAATTTATGCAGGTTTCTTTTGCCTCAGTTTCTTTTTTTCTTTTCTTTTTTCTTTTTTTTTTGGTGGCTGGCTCAGCCTGCCCTGGGGGTGGGGCTGGCACGGCATGTGGTGCCAGGGATCAAACTGCAGTCCCTGTGCTTGCCTAAGCTTGCCTAAGCAGGAGCTTTAGACCGCTGAGCTATCTCGCTGGCCCCTTGCCTCAGTTTCTTCATCTAAGACAATGTTAGCAACATGTATTTTGAGAGATTAATGTGAAGATTAAGTAATATGGCATAATGGAAAGCATTTGGCATAGGGCTTGACCTTAACAAAGTGCTCAAAAAATTTAACTTTTGTTAGTAATAACAGTGGGTTCTGACTCAGATGAGTGATTCAAAGGAGCTGTCTTATAAGGATTGTAGAATCTGAGCTTAGGCCAGGCATGGTGACACATACCTGTAATCTTAGTACTCTAAGATATTGAGATAGGAGTTTTATGAGTTCAAGGACAGGCTGGGCTGCACAAGGAATTCAGGGAAAGTGTGGACTACATAGTGAGATCCTATCTCAAACAGCCTTACTCCCCTCCCCAAAGAACCAGTATTAGTGGACTTATTGACATGTATATCTGTCTGTTAAAGGATTAGAGAGGTAGCTCTAAAGTGTGGGGTTTTGGTTCCATTTAAATGTCTTTTGTCCTCTACCTTTAATCTTCAGCTCTCCACCTCAACATTGTTATTCTCAGTTTCAGGTTCTCCACCTAACATTAGTGGTACTAGGTTGGAGCAACTCCAAAAAGCTGAGTATGAGGGGTTTTTTTAAGAGTGTGTTGGGGATCAAACCCAAGGCCTTGCACATGCAAAGGAAGCCCTCTACCACTGAGCTACATGTCCAGTATGGTTTTAAGAAACCAAGGATATAGCTAAGTGACACAGTGCCTGCCTGGCAAGCACAGTGTCTTGAGTTAAATTCCCAGTACCCACACACATTAAGGAAAAAAATTAAGTTGAAGTATGACCTATTTCATACAGTGAAATATAAATTTGGGGTTTGGACAGTTGCATTCATTTATCTGACCTTTACCCACATCAAGATACTAAAGCAGGGTGGCTGGGGAAATAGCTCAGTAGAATAAGCACTTGCCTGGCAAGCACAAGGGCCTGAGTTCAATTCCTGGTTCTGCAAAAAAAAAAAAAAAAAAAAAAAAAAGATACTGAAGCATTCTCCACAGGTTCCTTTGTTACCCCTTCACAGTCAATCCCTGTTCTGCCCCCTCCTCTTGCCAAGCAACCAGTGTTTTGATTTCTGTAAGTGATTTGTTTTCCGTGTTCTAGAACTTCATATAGTGAAACCATGTGGTAAAATTGCAGACTTTTGGCATGATTCTTCAACTCTCAGAGCCTATTTTATAATCTATAAAGTAGACATGGAACTCATAATGCCACTTTTAAGTGATTGAAAAATCAAGTGAAATAATGGGGGTTTTTGAGGGGTGGGTGATGGGGATTGAACCAGGACCTTGTGGAAATGATGTATTTGAAAAACCTTTATTGGCGACACTTGTCCGATCCAGTGTTACTTTTATTCTTATCACCCTTGAAGCTGGATGTAGTGGTGCATACTTGTAATCCGACCACACAGGAGACTGAGGCAGGAAGATTACCACAAGTTGGAGGCCAGTCTGGATTACCTAGTGAGTTATAGTTCCTGAACTACACAGTGAGCGCATGTCTCAAAAAACAAACAAACTTTACCAGCCTCTTAGACTCCCAGGATAATGCAGTTATGCTTTAATTATATCTTATATTCTTACATGGTTTGTTAGCCACTTGGTGGGAGATGGGTTATAATAAGGAGACTTAGGCCCTTGGAGATTAAATGATTTGCCTGTTTCATAACAAGTCCATGATTTAATCAGGGGCTAGAACCTAGGTCTTTATGTTCTTTTTTTTTTTTTTATTATTTTATTTATGCGTGTGTGTGTGTGTGTGTGTGTGTGGCCAGCTCAGCCCACCAGGGGGCGGGGCTGGCTGGCATGTGGTGCTGGGGGATTGAACCGAGGTCCCTGTGCTTTGCGAAGCTTGTTCTAAGTAGGTGCTTTAGACCACTGAGCCATCTCACCAGCCCGGTCTTTATGTTCTTAAGTGAAGAGTTCCTTCCACAATGGAATCAGTATAGTGGTATTCACTAAAATCACATTTTTCAGTTTCTTCCTATTTAATTATTCTGACATATATAAGAACTGATATGATTCTAGCTTTTCCCAGGTTTGGATAGAAGAAAAGTCAGTCTTCCACCTGCAACTCTGAATATGGTAAAAGAATCTCTTCCTGGGCCGGGGAGATGGCTCAGTGGAATAAGCGCTTCCCTGGCAAGCCCAAGGGCCTGAGTTCAACCCCCGGTTCCACCAAAAAAAAAAAAAAGAATCTCTTCCTTCCTTCCTGTTCTCCTTGTACTGACCTCTTTGCCTTCTCTCCTGTCAGACTCTGCGTTGGTGTTTGAACCTGGGCATCCTAGAGGTGACAGTCTACGCGTTCAGCATTGAGAACTTCAAACGTTCCAAGAATGAGGTTGACGGGATACTGGATCTGGCTCGAGAGAAATTTAGCTACTTGATGAAGGAACAGTAAGATGCTGTCCAAGGAGAAAATGTGTTCTTCCACCACCTTCAGCCATTCTCTAGTCCTCACAGCTCTTATCTAGGGCTTATTTGAAGCATTCCAAATCCCTTGAGTTTTAGAACTCTTGGGCAAGTATTAGAAATGCAAGTCAATTATACTTTGTTTTTTTTCTTTCTCTCTTTCCCTCTCCCCTCCTTTCCATTTCCTTCCCTGTCCCCCCACTTCCTGTACCAGGGATTGAATCCAAGGTCTCACATGCTAAACAAGCCCTCTGCCACTGTGATACATCAGCAAGCCTTTGTTTTGTTTCCCTTAATTTTGAAACAGATTCTTGCTAACTTGTATAGGCTAACCTTAAATTTGGGTCTTTCTGAGTAGCTGGGATTGGAGTTCTGTGCCACCACACCTGACTGACTTCTTTCTTTTTTTGGAGCAGTGCATGTATTTGCGAATACTGAGACATTTGATAGGATTTAAATATAGCCAGTCTCAAAAATAAAACCAAGTATTAACATATCTTCATACATTTCTTTGCTTTTATCTTGGCAGAGCAGATTTGAGAGGAACAACATACAGTGAAATAAATTTCTTAGTTGGCCCACCTCTGATAAAATATCTACCCCAGGGGCTGGAGAGATGGCTCAGTGGTCTAAAGCACCTATTTAGAACAAGCTTAG